ACAATATTTAACCTTTGACAACTGTACAGACCTTTTCTCCGGCTACAGCAGTAGTGTAGCTTGTTTAGCACTCTGGTTTGCAAAAGCATCTTCCTAGATGGCTTAGGAATGTGATCTCAACAATGCCTAAGATGCCTAAGTTACCTTTGCAGGCCTTTAGACAGATATTAATAGAAACACACTCAGGTTTGCAAACTTTTTCCTGAGCAGATGAACTTCATGTAACTAGTGTCAGCTCAATTAGAGCTGCCAATTAGAGCTTTTTGGCACATAAAGGGGTTGAGATTTAAACTATCCCCCACATTTTATAACATTAGCTTTTTACTATCACAGAGGTCTGGCAAGTTCCTGTCCCTTACAAGGTAGTCATGAACATTAGGCATGCTTCCAAACTTTCTTCCTATGACCTCCCGGCTCTGACCAGTTTTGAAAGGCCACCCACAAATGACACTAGGATCTGACATTTCTGCCATCCAAGCAGTGGCTTACTGCCTCTGGATGCTCCTCCATTGCTTTTGTCCCAGGAGTGTCTTCTCCACATTGGGATAAATGCCTTATTGGCATTTCCCTTTAGCTGGTTGCTGGACTCGAACTCAGGGCCTGAGCACTGTCCCTCAGCTCTACAGCTCAAGGCTAGCACTCTGCCACTTTGAGTCCCAGACTCGGGGCTTGAATGCTGTCCCCTAACTCTTCAGTCCAGGGCTAGTACTCTGCCACTATGAGTCTCGAGCTTGGGGCTTGAGTACTGTCCCCTGACTCTTTAGTCCAGGGCTAGTACTCTGCTGGCTGAATAGAGGTGACAGTCTCACAGGGACCTTTTTTTGCCCGGGCTGGCTTCGAACCAGTTTGCAGATCAATGCGTCTTATAAAAGGCCACTTTACTCCAATTAAAAGCAACAAGGTGGTCAACATAGAAGTAGCTTTTAAGCATGCTCTTACCTGAAACTTATTAAGAGTCAAAGTTACATCTGACAAACTTGTAAGAATCCTCTGTGCTTTGCTCTGGGCTTGCTGGAAACTTAAAAAAACCTATAAGAGCAAGCTAGAATAGCAATTATTTTGGTAATTTTAATTTTTCCCTTTGTGCACATTGAGGCCAATGTCAAGAACAATTTTACATTTAAACTTTATATCCCAAAATTCATTTTTAATTAATTTTTTTAAAAGCCTCTTATTAATCACCTTTAATATTTTATACTTTAGTTTTTATTTGCGTTTTGAAAAGATCCCTTGAAATCTTGAGGCCAAGTGTCACTCATTGCCTCTTGGTTGCTTGTTTTAAGGCAGACACACATTAAGATTTTTAAACTCAAATGACAATTGTTCCTTAATGCAAAAATTACAGTCACCTTTACTATACCCCAAAGCTAGTCTTAACACCTTTATAACTTTTAAAAACATCCTAATCGTAAAACATAATTGAAAGTAAGCCACATTATACAAATAACTTTTTGTGTTAACACATCCAAGGGGAAGTTTTAGCAATACTAATCAGGTCATCACATCACTCATTTTAACCATCATGTTTTTAGTGTCTGACTGCAGAGAAAGGAGAGAACAAAGATGGGCCGTTCGGCCCCTTCTATGGAATGGGCACACCCAATCTGACTCTTTAGGGTTAGATGAACTGCGCTTGTGCCAGCTTACCCTCTTTCACCCTGCGTGGACTCCTCCCAGGGCTTGTCCCACCATGCATGGCCAGCTGAACTGCACTTCTGCTTGTTTACCCCTTACCCCTAAAGATAGGTCTTCTGTTGGTTTCTAAGTTTTTTCTCCATCTCTTCTCTTGGTTCTCGAATGAAATACAGTTTTAGACAGACAGAACAGGTAACATCTTTGACAGTGTTAAACTAACCTTTATATTTAAATTTCTAATATTTATCCCCAAATTTTAGCCAAGGGAATTAGATCCCAAACAGCCAATGCATTTTTGTTAAGCCAGATAACTTGATTACAGAATAAACAGTCTTATGTATTTTAAAACATTAGTCTTTTAAAATACCAGATTTTCTAATTTGCAAGTTAAAGAATCTTTACAAAGCCATTTAAAACAATGTGAAGATTTTTTAAAATCTTTGGTAATGTCCAAACCTCATAACCTTTTGAATTTTAAATTTAAACTCACCCAATTGTTACAGCATGCTGACAATTCTTATCTTTGAACATGTTCACAGACACACACAAAGCACTCACACAGATCTTAAAGCACGCAAAAATCAAAATCAGTCGTACGTACACCTTTTAAAGTTCTTAAACAAAAATTTAAGACAGTATTTCTTTTAACTAGGTACCTTTGTTGGGCTTTATTTTCCCAGAGCTTGCTTATCTAGCAAGGCAATTCACTAATTGGTCTTTTGAATCCCTTCTGTAGGAGGAGGGCTGGGGGAGGGGGTCACCTAAAACTAAACTGTCCAGATTTTTACATTGTCAGGACTAGTTGAAAAAGTCCAAACCAGTCACACAGCCTTTTACACCCTCCCTGCTAGCAGCCTGCACAAGGAGAAAATGCAGCCTGAGGCTTGAAGGGAACCAAACTAGCCCAATAACCTTCCATGCCTCACAGGGAGGGTGGGCATAGCAGGTCTGTGACCCAGCCCAGCTGGAACTTTTATTCCCCCAGAGATGTTTAAATAAATAACAAAAACACAGATAAACACAAAAACCAAGGATCCACATTTAAAACTGGTACCAATTCTAAAACAGGACTAGACAAGAACTGAAGGCTGAGTTGGGGACTAATGAGCTCCAGTTTATACTGGAACTCTGTGCTGTTCTCACTCAGCAAGCTGAATCCAGAGGCTGCTGATTGAGCCTGTCACACTCACCCAGAACTTTTCTACCCCAGAAAACATAAAACAAACACACACTAAAGTTAACAATACAACCAAGTGGCCACAAAGACAAAATCAAGTCTCAGTGAATGGGGCAACATCTCACCACCATTCACTTACCAGGGGACTCAAACCCCCTATTTACCTCCGGAGGATTTTTTTTTTTTTTTTTTTTTTTTTTCCTGCAGACGTTGACCCAGGGGCCTTCCAAGGCGGAGGAGAATTCCCAGTCATCTGGGGCAAGGGAAAAGAAAAATCCCTAGCGGCCGTCCCCTCAGACTGACAGGTTCTCCCCCACGCTCAGACCCCCTGAGCCAAGGCCCAAGGCTGAGATCTAACTGGGGCCACTCACAGGTGGTCAGTGGCAATTTTATAATTGACAAACAAGCAAGTTCCTAAAACCTGACAATCTAGGCTCGGGCTGTCCTTCCAGTGCTGGGGGGTCGCGACAGTTTGCCCCATGCTAAAAATTTTAACAAACACAGAAACAGTACAGACAACAACACAGACAACACTTAGCTTCGCGGCACGCTTTTGCTAACAAACTGAAAGCAAAACCTGATGGAGACTTTATTGAGAGTCCGGATCTCTCGCCTCCCTGATGAACCACGCGTCCAAAAGGACCGGGTTCCAGATGGGCCACTTTTTCAGGCCCTCGGATGAGCCACTGTTTCAGGCTCCGGATGAGCCACTGTTTCAGGCTCCGGATGAGCCACTGTTTCAGGCTCCGGATGAGCCACTGTTTCAGGCTCCAGATGAGCCACTTTTTCAGGCTCCGGACACCCCCAAGACGTCTCCTGGGGGTTGCGGTCGGGAGTACGAGCTCGTCAGCTCCTCCACGGGCCCGCCAGATACGGACAAGTACGGCCGAACTCACCAGATTCGCAAGCGCACACACAGATTGACTTAAACAGTACACAGACAATACCTGGACAACACATAGACGCTGGCCAGCTTACCTCCCGAAAATGGATCGGTGGTCCCTGGGTGGGGGTCTCTATCCCGGACGAGCCCCCAGATGAAAGACCCCCGGCGGCGTGGGGTGTCCTTCAATCTGAAGAGACCCTTCCCCAAGGAACAACGAGACCACTTGTGCGGATGCAAACAGCAAGAGGTTTATTCGGGCAAGCCCTCGGCTCCCAGGTGCACTCAACCTCGAGATCCACAAGGTTCGGGTTGAGTGTCTGAGAACCGGTTACACGGGTACCCGGGGCGACAAAGTCTATCGGGAGACTTGCGTGCCGAGTGCTTGAAAGCACCCTCTTTTTATGGACAGCAGAAGCGAGGTTACAGAAGCGAGATGCGTGGTTACAGGGGGATGATTGGTTAATTTCAAATTACGCTCAGGGTGAGGATTGGTCAGGTTAAGCTAGCCAGATGGGGTAGGTGGGGTTGGGGGAAGGCTGACGTGTCGGTACTTGCCCGGACAAGTCTGTGCGGGTCGTTATGCACCGAAACTGTTCGTTCCCTAATTTTGACAAGTGATTTACTACATCCTGCCCTACCCCGCTATCAGGGTTAAGTGTTACAGGAAGGAATGTGTTGGTCGGCTATTTTACCGGAATGCCTGGTTTTAAGGCATGTACTAGGGTCAGGCTAGGGTCTGCAGGCGGTGACTCAGAGGCTCGAGGTTTCGTTTCCTGGTTAGCGGCCTGCACTTATCCTGCCCCACCACCCCCTTAGGTATGCAGGGTAAGGGGCAGCAATTTTCTTGGGGTACCTAGTGGGCAAGCACGGGCTGGGGTCTTTCAATCTAATGAACCCTTAGTGCTAACCCCAAGAGCCCATATGAGGGTTTAGAAGCTCTTTGGAAAAGCAGAATGACTAAGCAATTGCCACGTGCTGCTGTTCCAGCACAGGCCCCTCTAGGAAACATTGTCAGGTAATCCCTTCTGTATAGGTGATTGCCCACTTGACACTAACTGTTTCATAAGTGACTTCATTAGCACTTGGACACTAAGGACCTTCTCACCTAGAAACAATTTCACTGATAGTAACTCTCAAGAGCTCTGATATGAAGATTTTTGTGTGTGGGGGGGTACCTAGCTGCTTTTAATGGTTGCCCATTAAATACGGTTGACCTATTTAAAAGTAGAAGTAAATGAGCTTGCAAGTGAGACTATTGCCTGACTCAGTGAGTTCAACAGATACATGCATGTTACTTTACAGGAATCACCTTGCCCTGTATTATTCCCGGGTCATATGGTCCATCAGGTGTCCCAGGAGCTCCCGGATTACCAGGTATGGAATGAGGCCAGAGAAAACTAGTAAGTACACTTTTAAAGGGCATGAGACCAAGGATGCAGAGTCTAGTGCAACAGCATTAGAGGGTCCATATTCTTAAAGACTCCTTGGGGACCAATGAAACAGAATAGCTGCTGGAGACTGGAGTGTGGGGAAATGTACTCCTTAAAAAGTAGAATTCTTCACTGAATACCAAAAATCAAGTCTAGTCATTCTGTGTTTCCTTTCCCCTCACTAGTTGTTTTGGGTTTTTAGGTCCTAAAGGGGTCCAAGGTCTTCCCGGGACACCAGGCAAGCCTGGATCTCCAGGAAATAAAGGAGAGCCTGGAAGTCCAGGGTTAATTCAACTCCCAGAACTGCCAGGTAAGAAAGGAACTTCAACTTACATGCTCCTCTTTTGTGTTAATGTGCTTAGATTTTGGTTGCGCTTTACCAATGACAAAACACCAGGTTTACTTCTTAGTGTCATTGAGAGGATTTGATTTCACACCCAGGAAAGACAGTCTAGATTCATATACTGACAGCATAGCTGAGCCATAAAGGCCATTTGAGATAACTTGGGCAACTCCCTTACTTACACATAAGCAAACAGAGGACCACATAAAAAAAAGTAACTTGCCCAATATCACAAAGCCACTAGTGACAGAGTCAGGACTCCCCACTTGTCTATTTACCCAGTATTATGGCAGTTTTCTAGATCAGATTCTTAGAGGTCAAGAAAGACTAGATCAATTAAAAGAAAATTGTCTATCTCTAGCCCCTAACACCCTGTTTCCCCAACCTGAACTTCATGGAGCTACACTGTTTTCGAGATTCTCAAACTGTGTTCCCCGGCCAGCATCTGCATAAGCAACTTGTTAGTAATACAAGTTTTCAGCCTGTTCAAAGGCCAGCTGAGAAGAAATTCTAGCATGGGCCCAGAAATCTGTGTGTTACCCCTGGTGATTCAGAACCATCACTGTTCTAGGGCTCGGGGTTCATCTTGTGCCATTTGCTCCAGGTGATTGGTGCTTCAGTTCCCTCCACTACCTTTTTGCCACTCAAGAAGAGAGAGTCATGACATCAGGGTTAGAAAAGTCCAGAAGAGTTTGAGCTTTAGCCAGGAGGCCTCCATGTAACCTGAATTTCCCTTAAAACCCTAGGATCAGTTTGCTAAGCTCTGTCCACAGCTACCTCCCAGAACTAGAACCTTCTCCAGGTTATGTGGTACATTCCTTGCCCCTGCACTAGTCGTCCCAGAAACTGAAAGCCTTGATCATTATTAACATCTTAGCGTGTGTGTGTGTGTGTGTGTGTGTGTGTGTGTGTGTGTGTGTGTGTGTGTATTAGGGGAGAATGCTGTAGACATCTCCATCTATACAAACTGCTTCTAAACATTCATGGCCTTTCTTATATTTCCCTCTTTACATTTAGGATTTCCTGGATCTCATGGAGAAAAGGGCTTGCCTGGCTTTCCTGGGCTTCCTGGAAAAGATGGCTTGCCTGGAAACTCTGGCAGTCCAGGCTTACCAGGTTCCAAGGGAGTCCCAGGTGACGTCTTTGGTGCTGAAAATGGTGCTCCAGGGGAGCCAGGAATACAGGGATTGCCAGGAGACAAAGGATTTCCTGGAGACTCTGGCCTTCCAGGACCCAATGGTGACTCTTTTTGTATCCCACTTACATATCATATCAATCTATAAAAAGCCTTACTAACATATTCTTGCATGAATATTTTCATGAATCTGAAATAATAGATTAATCAAAGTGTACGGTTGGTTCGCCAAAAGGAAACCACCACGTGGTTCAGGCAGCAAAGAGTTTATTAGGGAGAGAGCAAACTGCCAGCATGCCCAGCAGTAAGGTCCACAAAAAAAGGACAAACTCCTGGCAGGGTTGGAGTTAAGTAGGAAGGGGGCGGGAAGAGTTGTGATGGGGAGGTCCAAGATGTAGACTCAGAGAAAGAGGAAGTAACTGCCTCCAGGTGTACCAGTCACCTAGGTAATGCAGGTGCTGGGTCGAGACTTCCTGCCTGGGAAATAAAAGGGAGGGGCCACCATACACAGAAGCAGACTTCCAGGCATACCTATTACAAGGGGTTAAAATGAAGTGTCATTCTGTGCTATCTGTACTTTGAAGGAAAATTTCCTTAAATGACCCGAGTCCATTTCCCTATCTTAGTAATTCCAAAAGCAACTATAACAAATAGACTTCTTGCAAAGCCTCTGGTTTGTAAAAAGTGGTGCATTTGATCAAAGTACATTATATGCATGCATAGAAATATTGCAGTGAAACTTTTTTATACAGTTAAGTATTCTAATATAAAAAAGACAGGGGAGGGGGAGGTTCTGGCTGAGAAGACAGAAGAGCTGAGAAGATAATGTCGCCTGGATGAATCCTGGACCTGGCTCTTCTATTGGAGGGTGGTTTAGTGACCCAGTCTTGATAATGAGCCAGTCTGTACTGATTTGCACACTTCTCTTTTTAAGGTTTTCATGGGAGACCTGGCTTACTAGGCCCCAAAGGTGAGCGGGGCAGCCCTGGAGCATCAGGACAAATAGGACAGCCAGGCCCCCCAGGGGCTAATGACCTATATGGCATCAAGGGAAAATCTGGGCACCCAGGTTCACCAGGCCTTCCAGGCACTTCAGGTAGGTCCATTGGAAGAAGAACCTCTGCTTAACAGACTTTAGGGAGGCCTTGGACCCAGGCTTCTTGAGGAACAAGTGCAAAGGTGGTAAAGTGATCAGCATCTGAAATGAGGCTTGACTTTCCTAACTTCAAGTCACCCTGGCAATGTCACCTAGAACACATTGCTATAGTTTGGCTTTGGAAATCACTTAGGGGCAAATCACTGTTTGCCCCTACTCCACAATCTCATGTCCTACTTTTGTGTTTCTGCCTACTGCCTGCCTTTCCTAGTTAGAAAAGGCACTCTGAACATCAATCTCTCTGGTTAGTATGGCCAAGAAATAGCTTTCACTCAGCTCTAGGGCCTGAGAGACTTTGATACCAGAACAGAATTTGTGGCTTGCCTTCTACTTACACGACCCTCAACACCTCTTACTCCTGGCCAAATTACTGAAGTTGACTTATTCTCAGAGCCATTAATATCCATTATCCTTCAGTGTTTCTGGGGTCTTCACATAGGCTGCCTAGGTGAAAAAGCACAGCACACAAGCACAGATGGAGAATCCCCACTAGGAAAGTTTCTGATTATATACTATAACGTGGCCTGACCTACAAGGGCAGGGATTCCCTAAGCTCATGCTGTGGAGTTGGATCCCATTGAATTTTCTTCTCTTGTTGTGGAATCCCCATCAATGCCTCCCATCGGAATCATGGGGCTAGCAACTACTTAATGCTTTTCAGTCCATAGAAAGCTAAGTCAGCCATTCATTGAGGTCCTTTGGGAGCCCAAATACCTCTGTCGTCATTGATTTTAATCCTTTGGTTTTTTAATTTCCTTGCTTTGTACCTGAACATTCCATTTTGGCAGCAGCTCAAGAGGTTAATCCCATTGACTAACTTAAAGCCTTGCTGAAAGACGCTCAGAATACCTAAGAGATCGAATGGGCCTTGAGGGTTTAGACAGTACTTGGCACTAGGGGGTCTTTCAGCCCTAATGTCAAAGAACTGGCTGACTTAACTGATTGCATGAAGGATTAAAAGGGCAGCGGGTAGCCAAGGCTCCCTGCAAGGCAGAAACAACAGCAGTGCTTTAACTTCTACTTCAGGGATTGGCTAGGAAAACAGCCATTGTGGTATAATTCAGATTGGAAAGTAGAGCAAAACTTGAGCCCATTTGCCACCCTGGTCTCCCAGAGCTCCATTCAGATGCTGAAGCAGGGAACTACATTCATAAAGGGAGAAGTTATAATCACAATAGGGTCATTCTCCCTGTCAGTAACTGTGCCAGCACTGGAAGTAATCGCTGTTTGCGTTAGTACTCTGGGTAGTAGGTGCTAATGCTCCAGCCCAGTAGGAACTCCTCTTGTTAGCAGCTTACAAGTGTCATTGATAAAGAGCCATTTACAAAACTCAACAAACTAACCACGAGCTACGGGAAGGCATCAGCCCCAATGTGGCCACAGCATCACTTAACAGGGTCCATGCTCTCTCCTGTGCTGACTCAGGACATCCTGGAAAGAAAGGTCTGAAAGGCGAGGCGGGTCAACCTGGATCAACTACAAAAGAAGGCGTACCTGGGATAAAAGGCCTTCCTGGATCTCCAGGGCTAATTGGTGTCTTAGGGAACCCAGGCTTGCCGGGGGTCACAGGTTTGCCAGGCCTCCCAGGTCAAAAGGGTAAGTGAAATGATCAAAACCATGAAATGAACATTGACTAACAAAAAGAAGCATCCCAGCTGCCCAGGTGGCCCTCCTTATTCACCTCAGTCTAAGATTGGGGATCAGAGTGGGAGGTAAGGAAGGCTTCCTGTGGCAAGGTAGGTGAGTAAAGCTAACACTGAAGGAAGACTCTCCACTTAAGCTGAGTCACCCACTCTGCTTGCTAGGTAGGATACTAGGCTGAAAGAGCCCCATGGAGATAATTCCTTTGCATGACACTTAGATTGTTACTTCTCATTTCCCTATGATTTTTCCAGTAGTATCAGTGGTTGGACAGGTTCCATCTCTGTTCTAAACAAGAAAGTGGCTGGTCCAGGGGTATACAACTGTTTAGCAACACAGATAGGATAGGCTGGTCATTTCTTCTATGCTAGACATGTATGTGTTTGGAACTCAGTGAATCAGAACAGAAGAACCTACTTCTTTTTCTTTGTGTTGCTTAGTGTCCCTATTCAGGGAGTCATCAAATGTGCAATGACTAAGAACTTGGTAGTGATAGAGGCTTTGGGTTAGAAAAATCCAAGTTTCAATTTTTTCTTGGCAACTTCTTAGCTCTGTAACTTTGAGCAAGTTGTTAAACTTTTCTGAACCTTTGTTTCCCTGTATGTAAAACAGAGAAAATAATAGAAGTTCTTGTTTCTCAACAGGTGAAAAGGGATCCCCTGGACCAGCAGGTTTCCCAGGAATACAAGGTCTTCCTGGCATCCCTGGAGCAAGTGGAGTAAAGGGAGCTCCTGGGTCACCTGGAAAGATGGGAACATCTGGATGGGCTGGTAGCCCTGGTGAGAAAGGTGAGACGTGAATTGTAAAACAATCACTTTGCTCCTTAATGTATATTTCAATTGTTGGCTTTACCATTCCATGGCCTGTACCAACTATATAGTAAAGATGATTTGGGTCTTCTGAAATTAAGTCCTTTTAGATTAAAATACTAATCACTTCAGGTTTAACATTGGATATTAGAGGTTCCATTACTCAGCTCTCTATTACTGCAACACAAACGAGAAATTACTTAGAAAGAGGAAAGGTTTATTTTAATTTTTGCCAGACCTGGAGCTTGAACACGGGGCCTGAGCACTGCCCCTGAGTGTCAGATTTTAGGCGAGAAAAGGACCACACATAAAGGAATAAAAATATTGACAAGAAAGTTTATTGGGGTATGCTCCCGGGCAAACTCCCTGGTCGAGATCAGAGAGGTCGCACTGAGTTTAATTGCAGCAGAGCTTTTATAGGCGGGGTAAAAGCCGAACTTGTAGTCAGTGAGGGCTTGTGGCATGTAGCTTGTTTTGCCAGTTTGAACAGTCTTGGGCCAGGGCACTGGAAGAATGGTTGGCTCAGATGGTGTTTTTAATGGGGACATGGTCTTTCTCGGCAGCAACCTGTTTTACCTCAGTGGCCTGTATTTTTCCTTGCTGCCTACTTCCTCCAGCGACATGACACTGAGCTTCTTTTGCTCAAGGTTAGCACTCTACCACTTGACCACAGCACCACTTCTGGCTTTTTCTGTTTATTTGGTACTGAGGAATCAAACCCAGAGCTTTACGCATGCTAGGCAAGCACTCTACCACTAAGCCATATTCCCAGCCAAAAAAGGGTTCTTTGTCTCATGGTTTTGGAGGTTTCAGGCCATGCTCACTTGGCCCTGTTGCTTTTAGGTTTATGCAAAGCAATGCATCATAGCAGAAACTGTGTTAGAGAAAGCTGTTCAGCTTATAGCAGCTGAGAAGCAGAAGAGAGAGAGGAAGAGATCAGAGTCCCATATAATCCCCTTCAAATGCATGTCCCTACTAAGCATTCTCTCACTAGGCTCTACCTCTCAAAGTCTCCATTACCTCACCACAGCAACATGGTCTAGGAACCATGCCATTAGCACATGGTTCTTATCCAAATCATAGCATTTTCCCCTGGCCCCCAAATGCTCATATCCATCTAACAGTGAAAGTGTGTTTAGTCCATCTCCAAGAATCCCCGAAGCCATAACTATTCCAGTCTTACTCAGAAGTACAAGCACAAACTCTCCTCCAAGACTCAAGGCAAACTTTTAACTGTGAGCCCTTGTAAAAACCAAATGGACAAGTTACATGCTACCAAGGTACAATGTCATGGTTCAAAAAAGAAGACAAGGGGCATAGGAAAGAAGAATTGGACCACAGCAGGACTGAAACCCAGCAGGGCAATATTAAATTCTAGTGTTTCATGCCTGGTCTTTGGGGCACATTATGATAGAACATAGACTCAAAGACTTAGGCATTTCATCCCTATAACCTTACAGGCTATAGCCCACATGACTACTCTCTTGGTCTGGTTCTGCTCACTGCCTGAAGCTTCCCTTGGCTGGCTTTCTACATTTCCTTGACATCTAAGGTCAACACCACAACTTCAGCTTCACTCTCACAGTACTCTGAGCTTCCCAAGCTTTCAGCTGAAATCTGAATAGAAGCCCCTATGAACCCATAACCCTTGCATTCTGTACACCTGCAAAATCAGCACCAAAATCTACTATGTCATGAACTGTACCCAGGCCGTTTGAGCTATATCTACAGCACCCTCTTGAATGTATTAATGAATTAATACAGGGAAATAAATTCTGGGAACCTAGGAAACCCTGTGCAAAATATACTGAGACTCTGTGTAAAAGTTTTTAAAAACAGTTTACATGTTTACACCTTTGAGTCTGTGATTGGTATTGGGTAGGATCTTTCCAATTCCTGAGCTATCCTCAAGGAATGTTTCCTTTATTCCAAAGCAAACTACTTCTTGGCTCCTTTTTAATGGCACTAACTCTAAGAACTGCATCTTACTTGGCAACACCTTTCAATGTGCTACATTTTTGGTCAAACTGAAAGTTTTCCAAAATGTTCCACTCTGCTTCTTTTTGCTCCTGATTCTTATTGTTGGCTAAAAGAGCCAGTAATATCCATGATATTGACTGAATGCTTTGATGGCTTGACATTTCCTTTGCCAGAAAAACTAATCTGTTTCCTTTAAAGGTGGACCCTAAGGCATAGGCTTAATGCATCCATTTATTTTTACCACAATGTAATAAGGAAAGCCTCTGGTCTGACTCTCAATCACATCTTATCAGCATAGCCTTTACTGTCTATTTTTCTTTCAGTATTATGATGGTCTTCCAATTCCCCATTAGAATTGTCTGTTAAGTTCTGCTTATATAGTTGAGGATTTCTCTAATATCCACCCCTTGAAACTTTTCCAAATTTCTTCCATAAAGCAATTCCAAAGGATTTTCTACATCATCTCAGGTGAAGTCACAGCAACAACCCCACTCTCAGGTACAAATTTGCTATGTTAGCTTTCCAGTGAACCAAAATAAATCTCCCCAGTTCTTTAATAAATACCCAATTCACCATTTCAAAGGTTTCAGTTCATGGTCACCTGACCCAATTACTTTTGGACCTTTGGTGAAGCAGTACACCATAGCAAGGAGCACATGGTAGAAGAAACTTCTCAATTAATAATAGAAAGGAAGAAAAATAGAGAAGAAAATAGAGTCCCACAATCCCTTTCAAATGCATGCTCCCAGTGACCTGACTTCCTTCCATTAGTTTTCTCCTCTCCAAACTTTTCAGTGACATGGGTTGGAAACCATACCTTTAACACATGGGACTTTGGACAACAAAATTCTAAAACCAAAGAGAGGTCTAGCTAGGCACCAGTGGCTCACGCCTGTAATTCTATCTACTCAGGAGGCTGAGATCAGAGGATCATAGTTCAAAGCCAGCCCAGGCAGAAAAGTCCATGAGACTTATCTGCAACAAACTACTCAGAAAAAAAACCAGAAGTGGCTCTGTGGCTCAAGTGGTAGAGCACACAAAGAGATTCAGGGACAGTGACTAGACCCACAGTTCAAGCCCCAGGACTGGGAGAATGAGAGAGAAAGAGAGAAGACAGAGAGAGACAGAGAGACAGACAGAGACAGAAACAGAGAGACAGTGAGACAGAGAGAAAGAGAGAGAGATTGAAGTCTATACACTCCCACATAATCTATGAGGAAGGTTTTGAGTAGGATCTAAAGTTGCCATTGGACTTTGGGGTTGGAAAAGAAAAAGACATAGAGAGAAATGCAAAGTTGGAACTGGAATTGAGGAAGAGGACAGAAGGGCCTAGAAAGAAGGCTTGGGGGGAAACTGTGGGAAGAAATTATTTGAAAGATCAGCCTTTGGGGCTGGGAAGGTGGCTCAGTGGTAGAGCGCTTGCCTTGCATGCCTGAGGCCCTGGGTTCAATTCCCCAGCACCATATAAGCAAAAAAGAAAAAAAGCCTGAAGTGGCACTGTGGCTCAAGTGGTAGAGCGCTAGCCTTGAGCTGAAGAGCTGAGGGACAGCGCCCAGGCCCAGAGTTCAGGCCCCACGACCGGATCCAGAAAAAAAAAAAAAAAAAAGAAAGATCAGCCTTTGCCTCACTCTAAGCTCTCTGTCTCTCATGCTAATGGCCTGATCTGCATTCCTGCAGGAGACAGAGGTGATCCAGGGCCAGTTGGAGTACCCATTCCAAGACCTCCAATGCTCAACCTTTGGTTCAAAGGAGACAAAGGCTCTCAGGGTTCAGCTGGATCAGATGGATTTCCTGGACCCAGAGGTGATGAAGCTGGGGATGGCCAGGAAAAATGCTCAAAAAAGGGTTTACAACTTGGCTTCTGTCCTGAGCAGCCCATACCTCCCAGAATACCAATGTGTGTAGCAGAATGCAATCCAAAGAGGCTATCTTTCCTGGACTTGAAAGTTGCTTATGATTCAAGACTTCCACTTGCTATTGTCACTGTGGAACTAAGGCTTAGAACTTCAGTCTGTTACAATCCTGACAAAATCTGGCAAAGTGGGGCAAAGGCACTGAGATGCTTATACTTGTGTGGTGCTGGAGCTGGGGTGACCCTGACTATGCCCCATAAGGCCGAAGATATCACTTTCCATTACATCTCCCCACCCCCAACTGACTGGTCCCCATAACCAAGCTGGCACTTGGCCTGTGATATAGGGCACCTGCATCAGAGTGAGCAGGTTTTTGGACAGTCTTTTATCAAGCCTTTTTGCTTTTTTCTCAGGTGACAAAGGAGAGGCTGGCCATCCAGGGTCACCAGGCCTACCTGGAGCTCCTGGTCTCCCCAGTACAATCAAAGGGCTTAGTGGGAGGCCAGGCCCCCCTGGCGCCCTGGGACTACAGGGCTTACCTGGCCTGAAGGGGTCCCCAGGAATCACAGGTTTCCCAGGAATGCCAGGAGAACCTGTAAGTATGACCAGTTACTCATGTCTCCATCTCAGAAAGGCCTCCATAGCAGAGAGACATACCCCATTATTAGTCACCTTTCTGATGTCAGACCACTACCCAGCCCCATCTCCCAGGAAACCCTCAGACAAAGCCTTCTTCTTGGTGACAGGTCTCCTCGCCTTTCCTGAGCATCCTCTTATCTGTGCTCTTACTTATATTATCTCCCCACATGAAGAATCTCCTGCTCACTCTACAGTTGGCAACATCTGCCTGTCTTTCAGGCTGGCCATCTCAGAAGCCATCCTTCAGGCACCATCTCAGAAGACCCTTACTTTCCACTTTTCACTACTTTGATCCATCTACTTGGCTCTGTGGTACAATCTCATTATTTAATGAGGTTTCTGGGACTTGAGAATAGGAACTGCCTTACATATTTTTCTCATTGAACTAGGGACATCATACAAACAGCACAGACTCCTCAATGTTTTGATGGGAAGGTCTTTTTTTTGGGGGGGGAGTTGAGACAAAGTCACAGTATATGATCTAGGATGGTCTGGATTATGTAGCCCAGCATAGCCTTAAGCTCACAATCCTTCTATGTCCACCTGCTAAATGCTGAGATTACAGGTGTAAACATCCCACAATACCCAGCTGATATAAAGGTCTTCAAAGTGCCACATAGGATGACAATTACCAAAGACTGAAATTTAGTTTCTTGGGGTTCTGAAAAGGCAACTTGGAATTGTTTTAGCAAGGAAACAGTTGGGTTTGAAGCTCATCTCTATTCCTCATTAGCTTTGTGACCTTGTGCATACTACTTAACTTCCCTAAGCCTCATTTTCCTTATCTGTAAAAATAGGACTAATATTTGAACCCGTTTCAAACAATGAGGACTAAGATAACACATGAAAAGCAACAATTCGCACACATAATAATTCTGGAGTATTGCTCACAGTGGTGGGAGCTGACTATCTGTGGAGCAGCACATTGACCTCTTGGTTAGACTATGATGTCCTATACTTTTTGAGACTTGCAAGAGCAGCTACACCCGATATCTCAAGGTTTCAGTTTTGATAGTCGATGAGAAGTTATGAATGATAAGACAAGGATTAGTCAGCAGATGGAATTCTCCCCCTACAAGCCTGACATGTGCACATGGGCCCTTGACAGCATCTTCCCCTTTGCAAGTTACTCCTCCACTTTTCCCTTCTTACTCAGGACAATGGACATCTCAGGCAATGGCTCAGAAATGGAGGGGGAGGGGGATGGTGGGCAGCTCTGAACTTTGGGCAAAAACGATGATATCTCTATTGCTTGAAGGGTTCACGAGGTCTCATTGGGGCTTCTGGGTTCCCAGGAACAACTGGTCTCCCAGGTTCAAAAGGTAAGGAACATTTTCTCTTTTGATAAGAATTTCTTCAACAAAGTAGATTTCTACCAGCTAAGTCTACCAGACTTAGCTGGTAGAAATCTACTTGGGGCTGGAGGAGGGGGATGGAATAGAAGACAATTAATTGGTTTACATTTCCCCATTGACCAAACCCCACTCTGCAAGCCTTGTTCTTCCAATATGATGCAACAACCATGGATACCTACCAAGATCTTCAAGGTTTTTTGGTGACAAGGAAAAGGCTCTTCTTGGCTTTGATGTCTGATGTGTCTGCCTTCTAGTCTTAGCAGCAGAGAAGCTCAATTCCAGAGAGCCACTTCCTTATGAACACAGTCTACTAGGCAGGGGAATTTTCCATCACTGCAGACATCACTGTTCTGTTAATGATGTTTTAAGCTCCCCCCCTCCACCATCTTCTCACACATACTGAGCCTAGTGATGCATTTCCACTTGCTCCATGTAACAGCATTTCATTCCAGTAGTCTGATAGCATCCAAATTCCTACATAGTGACTGATTACCTTTTAGCTAATGAATGATTTTGTCAAACAGCATTTCTGACTGCATTGAATCATTAAAAATACATGTCAAAAGTTCTCTAAGGTTGAAAAATTGATCCCTACCTTATCCTGACCACCTGAACAATATCTTGATATCAGGAGATCAAGGCCAGACATTTGACATTTTTGGTAGCCCAGGACCCAAGGGAAAACCAGGCGATCCAGGTTTTAAAGGTAAGATGACTATTTTTTGTCTCATTCCCTCATGCATTGCTCAAAACAAGATGGGAAGTAATTTTTGAGGCTAACCCAAAGTTCTGCAACTTTAACCCAATGCAAAACAATTCTTATCTATATTTTCCCCAAGCAAGCATGCCTACTATCCCTTTGAGACTTACAGGCTGGGGATAATGACATCCCCCTTTAGTTTATAGAATTTTGCCTACACCATGCCTCTCAGGCATGTCAACCTATCACCCCTACTTTTGGAAGGCATTCAGAATGTCTACTCACTTCTCAATTGGGCAGTACTTATCAAATGTAAAGATAGATGCCATGGTCCTTCTCAGAATTTCTTCACTGAAGCAAGTTTTCCTCATCAATTCAAAATGTTTTCACATGTCTGTTTACCCTTTTGTGTGGATGAATACACTACCAGGAATGTGGCCTGACCAACAGCCTTTTTCTTGATTTTATAGGTATAAAAGGGAAAGATGGACTGATTGGTGATAAAGGCTTTCCAGGGCCCAAAGGTCAAGATGGAGAAGATGGTATTTCTGGAGATGCTGGCCTTCCTGGTTCCCCAGGTATCATGCCACATGACAACTTTCTTCTGAAAAAGTCAGGATTAGCTTCAAAGCACACTTCTTTCTGAACTGCTTTGGTTTCACATTTAGGACTTCCAGGAATTACAGGGATGAGAGGAGATCCAGGACTTCCAGGTTCCTCTGGTCATCCAGGGTCAACTGGGCTCCTGGGACCATCTGGCTTAATAGGACCTAAAGGTATGTGTATTTGAGAGCAGAAGTGGAAAACCTACCGTCAATAAAAGACAGCAACTACTTTATTTGAGAAGAAAGTAGTTAGGGTTAACCAATGTTTAGGCTAGGGAGAGGGGGTCACATGATTATTAAAAGGAAAATAGAAGGATGGTCTGCTAGAATGAATGGGAAAAGAACATTGGATCTATAAAGTTAACATTAGACTTCCTTTATTATAATGAAGTCCCTATTGGTTGGGTACTTATAAAGAAGCTTACTTACCTTACAAAGTTGAAAGTCCAAATAGCATGGCAGTGGCTTTAATGAGAGCTTCCTAGCTCTATGACTACATAGAGAATGCTATTAGGGCAGATTGCATAAAAGAGGAGGAGATTACATTGCAAGACAGGACACAGTGAGGAGTGGGGCCAATTCACTCTCACAAGAACTAATTCAAAGTCCTATATGAATGACCTTAATCCTTTCTGAGATCAGTTTCTCCAGTGACTTAACCAACTCCTACTAGGCCCTAATTCAGAAAGGTCTCTCTACCCCTTAGCCATACCACACTGGGGACCAAGCTTATCCAAGATGTAAGAGGAGGCTTTCACTGCAGCATGCATTGCTTTTTGCTTACTAAAACAATTATTCAAAAAGTCTCTGGAAACAGTTTGTCAAAGGTGAGAACTCCAGGTCCTGGCAATGTCACTCTTATATTCTTAAAGAAACCTAATGTGGTGGAGTGAAACTCTCAGCACATTGAAGACAGGAAGCATGGAGAGTTAGCGGAAGCACGTGACAAGATATAGTTCCAGTGGCACACCCTGAAGGATCCACTCCCTTCAACTAAATCCTACCTCTTAAGTTTCTATTGGCTCCCAGTAGCCCATCACATTATGGAGCTATCAATAGAGGGATGTTAGAGCCCTCATCAACACCACCTCTAAACACTGCTACATTAGGGACAAGTCTTCAATATATGAGCTTTTGAGAAGTTCTGAGGCTGTTTCAAATCCAAGCTGTAGCACCAAATTAGATGTCACCTTGCTATTCAAGATACTTTTTTTTTCCTGCCGGTTGTGGGGCCTGAATTCTAGGCCTAGGCACCGTCCCTCAGCTCTTCAGATCAAGTCTAGTGCTCTACCACTTGAGCCACAGTGCCGCTTCTGGCTTTTTCTGTTTATGTGGTGCTGAGGAATCGAACCCAGGGCCTCATGCATGCAAGGCAAGCACTCTACCACTGAGCTACCTGCCCAGCCCTATTGAAGCTATTTAGATATCTGATTATGAGTCATGAGAACTTCAGATATAGATTACAGGTTAGGGTGGACTATTCTCCATGAGATTATTAAGCAGTATCTCTAGAAAGACCAGGACTTGCAAATAAAGATCTTGCAATTCTTTTCTGGGTGAGTAATTACATCTTGTTGACTCTTTATGATTAACAATTGCTGTTTTCAACTTCTTTTCCACAGGATTCTCTGGGCTTCCTGGTTTACATGGACTGAATGGGCTTCCAGGAACCAAGGGTACTCATGGAACTCCAGGTAAGAAAGATCCTCAAGGGTGGAAAAGGACACCAACTCTTCCAGTAACCTGGCAGGGACTGATTGTGAGTCCTAGACTGTCGTATACCCCACATGAGTTCTCAACTATGGTATACCCTATGTCTTTGTACTCACAATCCTTCAATTGAATTTCTTAGATATGAGGAAGAAAGAGGGTAGGGATTGTCTCTCTTCTAGAATGAGCTCTTCTACTGGGCCACAGACAACTGAGCTAGGCATGAAGTTTCCACCTCCACTGACCTCTGTCCCTTTCCTCCAAATCTCCTCCTAGGATCCAGTATCACTGGTGTTCCTGGGCCTGCTGGCCTGCCTGGTCCAAAAGGAGAAAAAGGCATGCCAGGAATTGTCATTGGAGCTCCAGGGCAACCAGGTCCAAGAGGACAAAAAGGTGGTCGAGGTAAGTGGGCCCAAGTCAAGCCTTGTAAAAATTGTATGAGTCATTGGTTTGGGGTTCATCAGGGCCAGGTGGCTCTAATATTTGAGTTTTGCATGTTTTTGCATCTCTACATGTCGCATGAACCCACGGGACTGACTGCTGAAAAAGGGAGGATAGGCAGTGCCTGTAACTTCCCAGTGATGGGTGTTTAGGAAGCAGACCACTGAGTTCCCCTTCAGCTTTCAGATTCCTTCTAGCTCTTCCCTATTAACCTCAAGTCCTCTCTTGCACCTTGATCAGAGCTGGAATAATCAATCCTAAATGATAGGGCTTGTCCATTGTCTACTTAAGAGTTGGCCAGAATTTCCTATGGCAAGTATGAATGGTATCAACAGGGTCCTGAAACACACTGGCTTGCAGAAGAGCCCAAGACTGAGAGAATTAATGTCTCTTCCCATGAACAGGCCCACAGCCTGCACAATTAGGATTTGTCAATTTTACTAGAAAGCAAATTCCATCCTAATCTTAGCCCCTGGTCTCATCATGAAGCCTGAAGTCTTTCTGAGCCTCCCTTTCGCCACCATTCAAAAGTTAAGAATGAATCCCTAACCCGACTGCATTGTTGGTGGGAGTGTAAACCTGTTCAACTACTTTGGAAAGCAGTATGGAGGTTCCTCAAAAGACTACACATAGAGCTCCCCTTTGACCCAGCAATCCTACGTTTGGGCATTTACCCAAATGATCACAAACAAGGCCATACTAAAACTACCAGCACAACTATGCTTATCGGAGCATTATTCTCCATAGCTAAAATATGGAACCAACCCACATGCCCCTCAGTAGATGAATGGATCGAAAAAATGTGATATATATATATACATATATATACATACACACACACACAATGGAATTCTATGCCTCCATCAGAAAGAATGACACTGTCCCATTTGTTAGGAAATGGTAAGACTTGGGAAAACTTTATTAAGTGAAGTAAGCCAGACCCAAACAAACATAGGGCCCATGGTTTTCCTTATTTGCAATAACTAGTGTACATCTAGGACAAGCAGAAAAGGTCAAAAGCTATGTACATATGACCATATAAGATGATGCTAAGTGAAATGAACCCCAAGATAGGGACACAAAAGATTTTATCTTTGTTGCTGTTCTTTGTAATGTACTTATAATGTACTATGTGATTTGTTTTTGTTTCTTTTGCATGCTCTTCCCCCATGGTACAACCCCTGTTGTCACTGTATTTGATTCCGGTGTCCTGCATCTTGTATATACATTTTTCTAATTTGGAGAGGGGAAGGGAAATAACAAAATGCTGAAACAAGGGTACAGGTTGACCCATTGTAGCAATGAGATGTACAAGATACTATGTTGAAAACAAACTTTACAACTTGGGGAATGGAGTGAAGAATTGGGGAGGTGGGGAAGGAAGGGATGGTAGGGCAAAAACAAAGAAGGGTAACAATGCTCCATAGGAAATGTACTCATTACCTTACTCAACTAACTATAACCCCTCTGTACAGTGTCTTTACAATAAAAATATGTATTCAAAAACACAAATAAAACCATTCTCAAAAGAAAAAATATAATGCATCCTGTTTAAACTGTAAAAAAAAAAAGAATAAACACTCATATGCTTGCTCCATGGCAACCCCTCAAAAAATATTTCCTGGGAATTATATGTGAACTGATAATTACATATAAATTAACCTTAGATTTGGCTAACACTTTTATCTTTAAAATGATCCCAATGAACAAAAGATATGCCAGTTGGCTGGTTTACATTTTTACTGAAAATGTCTCTGATGGATATTATATTCTGTACAAGTGATTACTGTATTTAAACTGGTGGAATGCATGTACATTATCTAGGTTTATCTGTGTACATGTACATTCACGCATGCACAAGAAGGGTGCATAGTTTTCCTTCTCTAAATACTGAGGTAGTTTGCACTTTCTCTCTGGTATTTTCAGTAAGTCTTGTCTGCCAATAAAAGTTTTGAAAGTTATTTTTAATTGTAAAAATGCTGTACAGAGGGGTTATAGTTACATGAGCAAGGTAATCAGTACACTTCCTATTGAGCATTGTTGCTTCTTCCTTTGTTTTCCCCCTACCATCCCTTCCCTCCCAGAAAGTTATTTTTATAGTGTTAAATAAAAACCATTATAAAACCCACCTACCTTTACTCTGAAAAAAAAAAAAAAGAATGTATCCCTAGCCTTCGACTTTCCATAGAACTATTCTGAAGACACCTATCTCTACCACTCAGTATAAAGCAGTAAATGATTTCAGCAAAGCAGCACAGCTGAGAGGATATGGACTCTGGAGTCAGGCAACTCTGCTCAAATGCAAGCTTTGCCCCTCACTAACTATAGAAAGGACTTTGAACAATGAAGTCATTTGCCTCTCAATTTCCAATAAATCCTCAGTTTTCATTTTATCTAAAATGGATGTATAAAAGAACCACCTCATAGGTTTGAGATATCAATGAAGAATGAGATAATGTATATAAAACATTTAGTCGGGGTCTAACACACAGTAGGTTCTCAGGAAATGACGGCCATTGTTTTAATCTAGGGAAATCATATTTGCAAAATGTTTTATTCCTTCTAGCTCTAGTCTAGGGTCTCATTATGTTTATGTTTTTCTAATGTGCATATGTTACTCAGGAACTATATTCATACATTCATTTATTTCTGCTACACTTTGAATGGAAGCATCTGCTATTTCCATGTTTACTCTTTCCTTTGGTCTGCACAATCTGTTCTTTTCTGAAAGCCAGCATCTTCTGCAAAGGAAGGGCTCAAAGCAGGATTTGAGCCTGTAGGGCGAGTGGCTTCTTCCATAGCACATAGAGAAAACATGACAGAATAAAAGCACAGGACATTTCCTTTTCTGTCTGCAAATCTTGACTATGAAGCCTGGTCATTAAATTATCCATTTCCTTTAGCTATGGTCATAACAATTACAATACCAAATGGAGTAAACAGCACATGTCAACATGGATACATTTCAGGAACATAATGTTTAGTGGAGAAAAGCACATCACAATGGAATACATTTGGAATGACTCAGTTGATAAGCACTGGAAAATAAGCAAAACCAGCCAGTACATTGTTTAGTGATACAAATATTCATGGGCAAACTATGATGAGAAGAAAAGAAGTGATCAATACAAAATTCAGGAAGGTGTGCTCAGAGAGGTGGGGAAGGATGTGAAATTAGTAGAGAACAAACAAGAATGTCTAAGGTAATACCATCTATTTTTTTAATGAGATGGTTTGAAAACAAGTATGTTTGTCATATGTGGATTGTTCTTTACATGTTATTTATAAATATTCTATAGTATTCTCCCAAATATCTAGTAGAAACAGTTTGTTTAAAGTGAATATTTCATATGTCATCCTCCCTCCCTCAAAGAAGCTCATCTGTGATTTGATGGTAGAAGTCAGTATAAAACAAGGATTGAACCACAGGAGAAAAACCACAGCTTTCACATCCTTAACAGCTTTAGTTAAATGACTCTCCATCCCACTATTTCTTCCATATTTGCATTAGTTAGAGGCTGCATTTGTATATATAGTTTTTTAAGCTTTGGCAGCAGAGTAAGTTAGAAAAAAATAGGCCATTTTGCTTGCACAACTACTCACTTGAAGTGTTTTATTCTTAATCCAAAAATGTGAGCTCTTTCTACTACTTGAAATGACTAGTGTCTTTATTTAGGCTTTGAGATGACACCTTAATATCATTATAAAGAAACAAAAAGGGGTAAAGGATGCTTCAAAAATGGACATGGGAACATTTAGAGTCTGTGTGCTGTGGATACAGGGTATCTTAGTTTTACATAATTTAAGCTAATACAAATATGTAAGCTCTCCGTGTGTTTATATACCCACATGAAGCTATATTTTCAGGGAAAAGCATACAATGTCTTTACAGATATTTGCCTCTGTGAGAAAGGAAAATACCTTAGAAGCTCCCTGAGAAATAAATGACAATGTTATGAGTATGTGACTTTGCAACAAGGTTTCCATTTTGTGTTTATCTTTTCCTTTCTCAGATCTAAAATGATCAACAACCTTTTCCATAAAATTTATTTTTTCTCTCTAGATTTCTTAATGATTCAATTAACTAATGAACTATTTTAAATACCCAATTTAGCTAAGCTATCATTTTCTTTATGTTTACATGAATTTTATTTTTAGATGGATATAAAATGGGAAATTCAGTATGAATATATTTTTTGCCACCAAAACAACAAACAATAATTTAAGTTACTATAACAGTTTATTAACCAGTTTTAATTGATCTCACTTCATATGAATGTCTTCTAGAATATACCCAAGCAATGAATGAATTTCTCCCATGATCTATGTACAATAGCAATGCTTATACTTGTGTGTATAGCTTTTATGTGTTTTGCCATCAGGAGTTTAGTATGTGTATATTTGACATGTGACTCATAAACCATTTATGACCAGATGAAAGCTTTTCTTTGGAGCCTGTAATGGAAATTGTTCCACAGAAAACATGTAAATCAGTATTAAATTCTGAATAAACAAATATTAATTACTCTAATAAAAAGCTATTTGGCCAAAAAGGAGAGAGGAGGAACTTTAATACCAAGAAATTTATTCTATGGGCAATTAATCAATCATTCAGCTAGTAATATAAATTATCTATAAAAACTTTGGTGGGGGATACGGAGCGGAGGGAGATGGGAAGGGATGGAAAGGGGAAACAAAGGAGGAGGAAACTGTTTAATAAGAAATGTACTCATTAACTTGCCCATGTAATTGTAACCCAACTCTGTACGGTATTTTCACAATTAAAAAAAAAAGATCATTTCCCAGTTTGCCTACACATCCCAGAAGAAGCAGGTCCTCTGCCCACCTCTGTGCTGACTGGCTAGGGTCTGGGTTCTACCTGTATTTGTGACTTTTGGGTCCCATCAGACATAACTGGCTAAGTTAGGAACCTTTGTTTGTCTTGGAGGTGGTATTAAAAACACTTGGGGAATTTAAATTCCAGCTGGTCAGTCATGCCTTCTTTAATTTATCATTTGGAGGAAAACTGCCTAAAGTATTTCCATTACAAGTGAAATTGGGAAGGTAGAATATTCCATAGTTCCCTCCCAATGAAATGAACCTCCAGGTGGAAAGGGAAGTCTGAGCCTCCTTTACTTTTATTTGCAAACTAGAAAGGTAGAATAAGGGGAGTAGAATCTTCTTCTGGTATTCTCTGGCCTGGCAATTTTGTAACACTTCCATTTTGTGTGTGTGTTTGCACATCCATTTTCTCTGACAGCACTTGGCCCTTTCCTGGCCATGTGAAGTCACCCAGCCCCTTTGATTTATCCTTTACAGGATTCCCAGGTCTCCAAGGACCTGCTGGTCCTGCTGGAGCTCCAGGCATCTCCTTGCCCTCAGTCACAGCAGGACGGCCTGGTGACCCAGGTCCACCAGGCCTAGATGGAGAACGAGGTAAAGATAAGAAAGTCCAAAGAGGACTGGCTGCCCCATTTTGTGTTGTATTCTATGCAGCCTATGTACTTGTTGCTTGGCCTCACATTCTTCCCTTCAGCCAAAAGAAAAGGTATCTGGGAACTGGGATTTCACAGATTTGACAGAAACATTCTCTATCTTGGAAATGAATTTTGGCTTCCTATAGGTACTTATACTTTCAACAGTGGCCACACCCAACTCATATTCCCCTCATCCCTCTTTCAATCTTATCTCTAGGCCGTCCAGGCCTCCAAGGTTCCCCAGGTCCCCCTGGACCATCCTCAGATCAAGGTGACACTGGAGACCCTGGCTACCCTGGAATTCCTGGCCTTCAAGGGCCCAAGGGAGATCAAGGAATTTCAGGCTTCTCTGGTCTCCCTGGAAATCTAGGACTGAAAGGTAAGCCTGTTTGGGGGAGCTGCTGGGACTATCTCCAGTCCACAGGCCTGCAACCTTGGGAGAGAGGTCAGATGGCAGCTGTCTTCCTGCCTAGTCTCCATTCTATTACCACTAGGCCAAGACCTGACTTGCTTTCCTTTGGACTTTGTCAGGAGTACGAGGTGAGCCTGGCTTCATGGGGACTCCAGGCAAGATTGGGCCACAAGGAGACCCAGGATTTCCTGGCATGAAGGGGAAAGCAGGGCCAAGAGGTGAGTGGAAGTGACAGGCTGGGCTGAGTTCAGTGTGGTGGTAAGGTTTCAGCAGTCATTGCCCACTATACCAAAAAAGCAATTGGGTGGGGTGCCCACCCCGGGAGGTGGTTTTGCTACTTTTAGCAATCTCTGCCCCAGCAGCTCACAGGACTGAAAACTACTGCTTATGTGCCACAGTGGTTCCTGCTACTAAGCTCAGTCCATAAATGAAAAAAACCATTCCTCTAAATCCTTCACAAGAGCCCCAGTCACTCTTGGGTGTCTGAACCAATGGCATTCAGTTCACATGTCCTCCAAGGTCCAGTCCATCAACATTTTTCATACAGTATCCTTCTTCTCTCCGAATCATTTTTTTTACAAAGTAGCCTTGAAAACTCAAAAACACCCCATAGATATCAATGGCATAGAGATGAACTATGGCCCACAAAATCCTTAGGTGATGTCTTCCTTTCCATCATGCTGACCCTTTAATGTGTTCCTGCTACACTGGCCTCTTGAGTTATCAAAAATATAAGCTCTGGCCTACCACAGGACTGTTGTATATGTCAGTTTTGTTCTTAAGGTATTATTGCCCCTCTACTCTTCCAATAGCTAGCTCCTTCTTACATTTAAATGGTTTTAGCTCAATTGTAACTACTTATGAAAGGCTACTGGTTTCTGTCTAAAGTAAATCCCTCCAATCCATACCAACCAGTGCTCCCTCCCACTGTCACTGACTCATTCATTTCCTTCGTATAACTTCTCACAATTTGCATGAAGCTGAATGATATTTGTGAAAACATGCATTGTTCATCTTTACCACTGGACCATAATTTTCATAAAATTTTATCTTCTCATTACTCTAGTCTCAGCTTTTCCAGGACGCAGGCATATAGAAAGCACTCCAAAAAAGCACTTGTTCAATAAATTACTAACCAAGTTATTCTATTAGCAAAGTAGCCGAGTAGGGTTGGACTCCTAAGCTGTAATGTCAATAGAATTCCTGGGGTGAGATGCATCCTGTCTACCTCCTTGGGAAAAACTGCCTATACTACATATTCTTTGGACTATGTCCTGAGAAACAAAGATGAATGGGACCCAATCCCTGTCCCTAAGGAATTACCCAAACACTTGGAGGTATATGGGGAAACAGGGTAGTTTGTAAAGGGTGGCAAAAACTGTCCTAGAAGTATTCAATGGGCAGTTGGAGAACAAACAAGGCAAAAAACCAGTGGTTGACACAGAAAGGCAGCCTGGCCATTTGCCTTCTTTCTCTACCTCAACCTGAGGATGCCATTTCCCCACCTGCCCACAGGCTTTCCTGGTCCCCAAGGTGCTCCTGGACGAACACCAATTGCAGAAGTTATCCAGGCTCCTCCCGGACCCCTGGGTCTTCCAGGCCTCGAAGGCATCCCTGGCCTCACAGGGGACCCTGGGCTCCAAGGCCCTATTGGCCTCCAAGGTAATGGTGACAGTACTTTCTTAAGAAGCTGAGTGGTCTTGGCTAAGTCTTAAGCAACTCAGGGTTTTCCTGATTCCAAGGGTTTTCCTTCAATTGAGTGTTTCCTCTGATTCATCACAAGGCTCCCATGTTTCTTACTGGGGTATCAAAAGTCCAGCAGGGCCAGTGCAACAGTGGTGTTACTGTGCTGTGGAGAATGTGGGAGCAGAACATGGTCACTCCTTCAAATATCAGAGACAGTAGCTTCCCTGAACTACTGCATACAGATGGAGGGAGTGTGGTGGCAGAAAAAGGGCAGAACAAGGGCATGGAAAAAAACCAGATCAAGGGGCCAGGAGATTGGTTTTTAAGTCCTAGCTTTGCCCCAACTAGAGTTAAGTCAGAAGTCTCACTGGAACTCCATGCTAACAATGGCTCTTCATTCTACCCAGCATGGATGGATGGGAAGATGAGAGAGAGGAAGGGGGGGAGGCAGTAAGAAGGAGCTCAGAAGGACTAAATGGAGAGCAAGGAGCCTGAGCCAGGGCAGAAATGTCTCTGTAAAGAACTGGCTGGGCTGGCCCCAACTCCTGGGTAGGTCTCTACTCCTTGCCCAGGGTGACCACCAAGGGTTCAATTAGTGTGCCCTCTCCTGTTGACTTAGGAGAATGCACTCTCTCCTGGTCAGTCCCTTTTTCCAGAAAGGTATCCTCTATAACCCTGTACATTGAGTGCTCTAAACACACACACACACACACACACACACACACATTCAACTCACTCACTCCATCCTGGCTTTGTCTCCTGCAGGCCCCAAAGGTTCACCTGGTATTCCTGGAAAAGATGGTCCTAGTGGGCTTCCAGGCCCACCTGGGACACTCGGTGATCCTGGTCTCCCTGGATTACAAGGCCCTCCAGGATTTGAAGGTCTGGAGATGTCAACCTAGAGGGTAGAGGGCTTCTGCAAGGTTGAGATTTGGGGATGAGCCAGAATCTGAGGGATTCAAATACTGTGCTCTTGTCCATTCACTCCCTACTGCCTTGCAGTAAGTGAAGGGAAGCCCTACAAAGAACTATTTCAGATTATCTTCCTTCCCTCCTCTCTCTCTCCTCTCTTTCCATCTCTCCCTCCCCCCTCTCTCTCCCCCTATTACCTCCATGGAAGATTGAAACCAGGAAGCTACACTTGTATTTTTTTGGGGGGGGGGGTCCGGTCATGGGGCCTGAACTCTGGGCCTGGGCGCTGTCCGTCAGCTCTTCAGCTCAAGGCTAGCGCTCTACCACTTGAGCCACAGTACCACTTCTGGCTTTTTTCTTTTTGTTTATGTGGTGCTGAGGAATCGAACTCAGGGCCTCAGGCATGTAAGGCAAGCGCTCTACCACTGAGCCACCTTCCCAGCCCCCCTATTTTCTTCTTTCTATTTTGTTTTTGTAAGAACACATCTGTATACCTTTGCTTGGGCTGGCCTCAAACTCAGCATCTTCCTGCCTCTGCTTTCCCAGGAACTGGGGTTACAGGTATGCCCCACCATGCCTGGCCTGGATTCCAGCTTTTAAGTGTTACAACTCTACACTATAGCATAGCCACCTGCCACGCCCCTCCCCTTTGCTCTCCAGGGATTGTGATATGAATTGGGGGAAAGGGAGCTTAGAGGATAACATTTAAGGAAGATGTCTGCCTGTACCTCTGCTGCTTCCCTTCTTTTCACAATAAGAACAGAGAATCACTTGTCAGTAGATACCATTTCTGAGGCTCAGGGGGAAAGTGTTGCAATCCATTACCTACATCTGCCACAGACAGGAGAGGAGGGCAAAGCATTTTCCTGCTCATCCTGATTTCAGTGCTTCTGACTCAGCAGCTACTTACCTATGTCCTATGAGGCTCTTCAAGGATGGGCCTGAGAAAAATCCCTCTTCACTCATCCCATTGAAAGACAATCCAAAGACAGGTCGTTGGAAGAGGAAAGATAGATAATGTGCTTTTTATAATGGCAACTCTGTAGCCAGGTATGAACAACTTAGATTTCTGGGTCTCCCAAGACTTACCAGCTGTTTGTAGCTCTGAGTTTCAGTCTTCTCATCTACACATTGGGCTTATAATAGTACCATCTCCCAAGGTCATCATAAGGATCAAGTGGAATGATGTGTTTAAACAACATGCTTTACACAATGGGTGGTACCCAGTGAATAGCTGATATTATCATCTGCTGCACCAAGCTCACCTTTTCTGCTCTTTTCCCCATTAGGAGTTCCAGGGAAGCAAGGCCCCTTTGGGAGGCCTGGGATACCCGGGCCCAGTGTGCAAGTGGGCTACACATTGGTGAAACACAGTCAATCGGAGCAGGTGCCACAGTGCCCCATAGGGATGAGTCAACTGTGGGTGGGCTACAGTTTGCTGTTCGTGGAGGGACAGGAGAAGGCCCATAATCAGGACCTAGGTAAGTACCAGTTGTGACAGGCTGTCCTGACCTCCTGGCCTCATAGGACCAAGACTAAACTTTGCTTCTCTCAGCCCTTTGAATCCACTATTGGGTTATAGCACTAGCTCTGTAGTGAAGCCGACATGGGTTGTTAGCCATGTACCCCAATGATAGTACCATCTCTGAGCACTGTAGTAAGGGTCAAGTGAGATCTTCAAGTTATTCAACCTCTCTAAGCTTCTACTTCCTCTTTACTGGCACAAAGCTAATTCCAGTACCTAGCACATAGGGTGGCAGAAGGAGTTCATTAGTTACTCAATGTAAAATACTTAGAACAGTATTTGGCATATATGCTTCCATTAAGTGTCAGTGATTAGTAGTAACAACAATACATGAGCTTCACGGAAATGATGATTACTCAAGAATTAAATACAATAGATGCAGGCTTACTAAACCTTAAACATGGATTCCATCTATTAAATACTGATTTTACAAAGCCAGTATTCCAATTACTTAGTGATTGTTCCATTTATAAGAAGAGGCTTCCTGGTATCAAATTCCCTTGGTACATTTACAGCAAGATTTGATTTGCAGGCTTCAGTGTAGGGACAGTGTCATGGGACTGTAAGAGAGAGGTCAAGTACTTGACTATAAACCCACACTACCAGCTGGTCCAGTCCTGGTAGCCTTGAACCTAAGACAGATCTTCCCTCTCTTTGTCCACCTTGTCTCCAGGGTTTGCTGGCTCCTGCCTGCCCCGCTTCACCACCATGCCCTTTATCTACTGCAACATCAATGAAGTGTGCCACTATGCCAGGCGCAATGATAAATCCTACTGGCTCTCTACTACTGCCCCCATTCCCATGATGCCTGTCGGCCAGGCCCAGATTCCTCAGTACATCAGCCGCTGTTCTGTGTGTGAGGCACCCTCTCAAGCCATTGCTGTGCACAGCCAAGACATCACCATCCCTCAGTGCCCTCTGGGCTGGCGCAGCCTCTGGATCGGGTATTCCTTCCTCATGGTAAGGCACTGCACTTGACCTTCCCACAGGAAAGAAGCCAGAATGGGGAGCTCTGAGAAGATCCATAAGACTAGTTCCTAAGCTCAAGAGATGCTGAGTAGAAAGTAGAGTTTGAAAGAAAAAGAAATGTTTGGCCTGGCCTTGGCTCATGCCTGTAATTCCAGCAACTCAGGAGGTAGAGATCAGGAGGACTGCAGTTTGTGGCCAATCCAGGGGAAAAGTAAGGCTCCATGTCAACCAATAAGCTAGGCATAGTGGTCCACACCTGTAGTCCCAGGTGTGGTAGGCCAGGATCCTGGTCTGAGGCCTGATCGTGCAACAATGCAAAGCCTTTTCTGAAACATACCTAAAAGCAAAAGGGGCTAGAGGTGTGGCTTGTGGTAAAGCACCTGCCTTCACAAGACAAAGGTGCTTCAGTTCAAATCCAAATACTTCTAAGGGAAAAAAAAGCCATGGTAGTTGTAAGGGTGTAGTCAGTAGTTGGCATCCAGTGTTTCTGAAGTAAGTGACAGGCACAGATTCTATCATTGCTATACTTCCTTCACTAATGCACCACCAAAGAGAGAATGAACCACACTATGCAGTGAGAGAGATGCTGTCCTCACTCTGGGCCATGATGTATTTGCTCTAATCAAGCTGCACATAGATCTCTGCTCTCCCACTCACCTTCCCAGAGCCCTCTGTCCACAGCTGTCTCCCAAAAGGCTCACAAGAGAGTGTTTCTATGTCCTAACACACATTATTGCTGCCTTTCCATTTTTGTGGGAAGGCAGTGGACAGCTATGTATGCTGTGTCTGGATGGACAAGAACTCTCTTATACAGTAGCTGGTGAATACCTGGGAGATGTTTCATTCAACCAAGTCAGGTTTAGATCCAGAACAACTCCCCATGAAAAGCAGGTGTCACCATCTGAAGTGCTAAGTTTTGTGAAATCTCTTCTATGGGAAAAGAGATGGGCCAGAGGCAAGGTGGTGACGGAGGATCTAAAGAATTAGCTAATTAGTTGTGCTCTGTCCTTGAACATTGTACTTTATCCCAGTGTGAGAGAGTCACTTCACCTGTCATTCTGTCCTGTCCACCACCCAGACCAAGAAATAGGGAGAGATGGCCCCAACTTTCCACAGGAGCGTAACTCCTCTACTCTTCAATAAAGCATAGAGATGTGTTGTCTATTTCAGACAGTTTTCTATCCTGATGGTCAAAAAGAGGAAAACATGGATGCTTCAGTTACTATGAGGGGATCCCTTGAAAGGTCATTTGGTCATTTGGTGGCCCTCATCATCTCAAAGTACTAGGAAGTAAAGGGTTCCATTTGTTATCATTGGCCATTTGTTGTCATGAGTATGTGATGGCTCTTTCACCTCCATGGTCCACATGAAAAGCCAATCATGGTAAAGGGAGAAGGCCTGGGTGTGGAGAGGTGGGAGATACTGACTGGAGTACAGTATCCAGAGACTTAACTCATGAGTGCCCCTATGAAGTGAGGCCTGAGACATTTAGGCCTAATATAAATGGTTCCCCTGCCCTCTCCCTTTTACTCAGCAGGAAACAAGCACTGAAGATAGAAGTAGTTCTAATGGAGTTAGCTCTGTGGTAAGAGCTAATAATAGACAAGCTGCTAAGGGAAGGGCTGGGGTAGAAGCAATGTATGGAATCCTTAACACTCTTAGCATTCTTAGAGGATGGTGCACTGTAAACAAAAGGCCAATTGAGCTGTGATTCAGAATCCTACTGTTTACCTTTTTAATTTCATTATTGATCAGAGAGCCTCAGAAACTTGCTTTTCAAGTACTCTACCACTGGAAGCACACCCATAGCCCTTTCCTTTGTATTTGATTGCTGAGACAGTCTTGGTAACTTTGCCAGCAGTAGCTTCAAATATTGTATGTCAACAATCCCAGCTGCTAGTGAGTTATCCTTAATCCATTTTTATTTGTCCATGGAAATTGGTGAGGGGGGAGGGAAACATACCTATGAACTCAATGGGACAGGAGCAGTTTGAGAAACACAGGTTGAGACATGGTCACAATGTGCCTTTGTGAGGTCACCAAGCCTGTAGAAGGGAGAGGATGATGTAGGGGATGATAGGCAATTTCTTCCATTCAAGCTGGGTGGACCCAAGGACTGGTACTTATGAAAGGGGTGCATGTGCTCTCCTGTAGCCCCTGAATGGGCAGCATCCCCAGTGCTAGGCCCAGCCAGGTACAACTCCCACACATGCCTCCTGTCATTTCAGCACACTGCCGCTGGGGCTGAAGGTGGTGGCCAGTCCCTGGTTTCCCCAGGCTCGTGCCTCGAGGACTTCCGGGCTACACCTTTCATCGAATGCAACGGTGCCCTAGGCACCTGCCACTACTTTGCCAACAAGTACAGTTTCTGGCTGACCACAGTGGAGGAGAAGCAGCAGTTTAGGGAAGATCCTGTGTCTGAGACGCTGAAAACTGGGCAGCTACACACCCGGGTGAGCCGCTGCCAGGTGTGTATGAAAAGCCTGTAGGCTGGTGCCCACCATGCTGCCCCTGCCCTACCCTTCCATGCTCAGGGGTCACCTCACAAGCTTAACAATGCGAGGAAGGAAGGCCTGAGCTCTTGTGCCTACCTGTCAAATAGATTGGACTGAACATCCAGACCCTAATCACCCCAGCCCTCAAGCCCAATAGCTGGGCCTTACTGTCCTATCTCCAGCAACCTGGTGCTATTATTCCATTTGGATGTTTGCCTGTATATTCATGGATACCTCAGAAAGATTTGCTGGGTCAACATTTTCTTTTTTTCTTTTTTCTTTTTGGTGGCACTGTGATGCTGGACCAGTGCTCTGCCACTTGAGCCCTAGGGTCACAATTTTCCTTGATTGCTAGCTTTCTTCACTGCCCTGATCAGTAAGCTTTTCATTGTAGCTCTTATAGCCAGAGGTCTACTTTATATCCATATTATTTAGCTTAAGCCAGAACCTAACGTTTCCAGATTAAAGAAATATGTCCGGCTGAAAAATGTCTGGCTGAATGGTCATGGGATGGTTCAAGTCTACATTAGGCCAGCTGCCACTCCTCAAGGCCCTGTCTAAGCAGGTTACAGGGTTACTAGCCTGTAACCCTGATAAAGCTTTAACTCTTTCCAGAGTGAGCAAGATTGTTCTCCATATTGCATAAAGAGGTTAGAAGGGGCTGGGAAGGTGGCTCAGTGGTAGAGCGCTTGCCTTGCATGCATGAGGCCCTGGGTTTGATTCCCCAGTACTACATAAGCAAAAAGAAAAAAAGTCGGAAGTGGCAATGTGGCTCAAGTGGTAGAGCGCTAGCCTTGAGCTGTAGAGCTGAGAGACAGCATCCAGGCCCAGAGTTCAAGCCCCATGACTGGACCCCCACCCCCCCAAAAAAGGAGGTTAGAGGGCAGGAGCTGAGAAGGATCTGTTAACTTCATAGCCCCAGCCAAATCACCTCCACCTGATCAGCTCTCTACAGGCAGAGAACCTGCCTGGCCTGGCTGGTCCAAAGCATACAAGAGGATGCAACAAATGTGGCCAGGTCCATATATGCAAATAAGAAGCATTCATTTTTCTTGGCCAAGGAGAGAGGAGTGGATCTTGTCTTTGACTCCAGTAAAAGAAAGGAAAATCCCATTGCTCACAAGTCCCTGTGTATTCCAAATGCCGTCCAGATGTGTCCATGTGGCAAATCAAAGCTGCGGTGTGTTGGATCCTTTGCATTCTGAGGCTATTAGAAACTCCCTGTTCAAATGGTTATCTAGCTACTCTTTCACAAGTAGCCTTTCCAACTGTTTTAATATGTTTTTAAGACCTCATAAAAGTCTAGCACATACTTCTTGTTAACAGTCCTCAAGCATGGCCTGAGTTGGCTATTAAGTATATTGTATTGTGCTATGGGGGATTTGTTTTAATTGCCAGTTTCCCAGAACACTATGTTGACATAAGGCACTTCCTTCCAGGTGATTCTGTTTCCTTAAGTATTATGTGAACTGTGCCAACACAGACAAGGCATAATCAGTATAACCAAACTGTTGTCACTGTCACCTCTTAGCTAATAAACATGGTATAGGCTTTGTAAATAGCAAATAAAATGAATAAAATCTGAACTTTTGACTTGACCTTTTTTTCATACAACTTTCCTAATATCCATTGCACTAAACCCTAATGAACTATTGAGGCAAGAACAACTTTGAAAATGATCAAAGACAAAGGGAAGAATCCTCTGCTAGTCAGCAAACCTAGAGTGTGCATCAAGATAAGCCTTTAACTTCATCATTTGCTAGACTTCAAGAAAGGAGTTTCCTTACTTATGTTGCCTCAGGATCTTTTATAGATAAAAATAGGCAGTAAAGCAAGTGTGTGTATGCCTATTTTTAATATGTGTGAATATATTTAAATATATGCATATGTTTATACATGCATGCAACATATCTTCTGGAAGAATAAATAAATATTGGGAGCTTCAGAAAAGAAAGCTGACCTATTTGAGGGAAACACCTTACACTGAATAGTATTTTGCATCTTTTAAATATTGAATACCTGTAGTATGTTACCTACTAGAGAAAAAAACAAAAGATAGAACCTAAAGAAACAAGTGATGGCACTATGGCTCAAGTGGGAGAGTGCTTGCCTTGAGCTGAAGAGCTGTGGGACAGTGCCCAGGCCCAGAGTTCAAGCCCCACAACAGACCAAAAAAAAAAAGGTGTAGATCCAAGAAACAAGTGATTTGATCTGTGTTACCTTCCAAACTCTAGATATTAGCCTCCTGTGAAACACTGTTAGGGTGGTGGTGAAATGCAGACCCATGTGAAATCTGCAGTAAAGAGGGCAAGATAGAAAAACAGGAAGATCCTTTGGACATGAAGAACACATACTTCAAAACAGGAAAGTTTCTAGTCCTAAAATGGTTTGGAATTATGTTTAATCACAGATTAAATGTCACCACATGAATATTTTTTTACACAGAATATAATTCAAACAAGATTTATTTTAATTCCTCACACAAAATCAACAATTACAATGAGAGATTGGCAAAGCCAAGTCCAGCTTTCCACTTGTTTTTGTAAATAAAGTTTTATTGAATTACAGCCATGGTCAGTTGCATGCATATTGTTTATGGCTGCTTTTGCCCAGAGTTGAGTAGTTAAGACAGAGGCCACATGATTTGAAAAGTCTAAAATATTAACTATCTGACTTTTTACAGAAAAGAAGTTTTCTGACTTCTAATTTAAATGATCATGATTTGATTTAAGGACATGGTATTATCTGATAAAAGTGTCCATAAGGGTGGAGACTGTGACCTATCAAATACAAAGCTTCCTCCAAATAGGAAGACAATCAAGAAGTGTATGTTTGAAATAATTTTTGACAAATATTTTGATATAAATTATAATTACTCAAAATACATACTGAGATAATTTAAGAACATTTTTCTCCCTGATTCAGTTACTTTATTATTTGAGCAAGAGAACAGCTTGCTTCTTAGTATTTAGCTCCCAAGAGGTCACACCTAAAAGCATGAAGAAAGTCAACATGACCACCTCTCATCTGCTTCTGATGAAGCGAGATGGGAGCTGCTGTCTGATTTACAAACATTCTCATTTCAGTCATGGAAGACTTGTAGCCATGTATGACAAACTAGGAACAAATGGACTCCTCCTAATCTTTTTGCTCCTAGACTCCATGATTGTTCTATTTCTTTCTGGGAAGAATTGGTGTCATTTATTTGTTTGTTTGTTTTTCTGAGAACTGCTAGTTGGCTCAGTCATGATTGCTATTGAGTTTGTATGCTGTTGGCATATCAGGCACTTGCTGACTAGAAAAGTTTTATGTAACAAGTTTATGTTCCTGTGGTGCCAGATGGAAGACAGAACTTCAAATTGAGTTCCCACTATTCTACACGCTTAGAATCTCAAAATCTTCTTCCAGGTCAAAGTCCTCCAGTTGTTCAGTAGAATCAATGAATTCTATCAGAATACAGAAACAAGAAAGCAGCAAAGATTGACAGTTGGATCGATATGCTCAATCAATATTTTTCAGTCATTAAGATTACACATTTTAATCACTTTGCTAAGGAAAGGCCTTTTTTGTGGGTCAATGAACTCAGGGCCTGGGCATTGTCCTTGAGCTTTTCTTGTTGCTCAAGGCTAGCTACAACTTTGAGCCACAGCTCCACTTCCAGTTTTCTATTGGTTAATTGGAGATAAGAACCTCATGGACTTTCGTGTCCTGGCTGGCTTTGAACCATGTTATACAGATGTCAGCCTCCTGAGTAGCCAGGATTATCGGCACGAGCCACTAATGCCAGGTAAGAAAGGCCTTTTTCATGAGACTTAAAATTAGAACTACTATCAAGTATTAAAAATTGTCTATAAAGACTCAAAATATGCAGATCCAGTACATGCTCCTGGTCACAGTGATCTGAGATTGTAAGCCCTTACAAGTAACAAGTAACCTTGAGGGACTTTTTGGTTTATTTGTTGAGACAGGTTTTGCTATGTATCCCAGACTGCCATTAAATTTGTTATGCATCCCAGGCTGGTCTAGACTTGGATCCTCTTGTCTCACCTTTCCAAATGTTGGGATGATAGATATGTACCACTATGTCTTGCCTCTAGGTACCTTTTGAATAACCCATGCCCTCTAATTTGTCATTCTGAACCATAGCATTAAAAAAAAATTCAGTTTATCTTGATGTTGCATAGAACTTCTGCACTGAGCTCATGTTCTTTTTTATTAGTCTTTGAAATTGGCAAAAATCAGCTCATCAGAAACAGCATTCCTTCAGCCCAGCCAAGTAGAAATTTTGTTTTCCACAGAAAGCGTGAGCCATAGTTGCTTGTGTCTCAAAAACAATTGCTATATATAAATCTCCTGTCTGAGAGCCATCAAGTATCAGCTTACCTGCTCCAGTGGTTGTCACTTCTGGCTTGGTTGGAGGCACAAATGGAGGCCAGTGTGATGGATGTTTCTGAACTAATTCAAACATCCTTAAATTTTCCTTCAGAATTTCCTGTGGAGACACAGACATAGTTGTAAATACTGCAGTGCCTGGACAATTCTGTCCACTTGGCAATCTGTGAGCCCAAACCCTGGGAGTGGCCTAATGGTTGACAGGTGGAAAAATGCCCAATAAATACACCCATCCTCTCCTTGAACCACTGGAAGACCTCAGCTGACATTAGCTGATGGAACCCAGCATTCAGTGCCCGTATTCCATCCTGAGGCTCAGATAATCTGCCAGTTGCTAAGGCCCACTTCATTTGAGTTGTTCCTTAAGTACTGGTTCTAAAATACTGTCTGAATCAAATATGCCCCACGAGAATATTGGTACATATTAGTAGGTTTCAGTTATAGTCCAGCCTTTAAAGTATATGTTTTAATTTCAATGGCAGTCTTATAAAATTGTCATTTTGTTTTTAAATTTGATACCAATATAGTTTTGCTGCATTTTGGTGAAGAAGTATTACCTTTAAAAATAATCCTGTATTATATTCAGCAAATTGTTACCCAGGGTTTCAGATCTAACTAGGGATATTAATGTTAGTCATTCATTTACTGGTAAAGAAAAATCTTCCCTCCTTTTGTGTACAAGGCTCTGGGCTTTCATCTCTCCAAATCCTTCTGTTTTGGAGATAGGAGAACTTTAGGTCTCCTGCTACCCAACCCAAAGTTCTTTAAATTACTCTATGATCTCCTTTATTTTTTTTAAATATAGAACACTTCACAAATTTGCATGTCAACCTTGTGCAGGGACTGTGCTAATCTTCTTGTATCATTCCTTAGTATACGTGCTGTAAGTGTTTATCAGTATCTATCAACTACTGGGCATGTATTAAGGGCTGATAATGAGATAGACACATAAATCACCAGATTATTAAGCCAGTGAAATAGTTTCATTTCCACAAGACCACACAAAGAATACTTCTACATGAATTCTAAAAGTTGTGATCCTTTCAAGCTGTTGTCAATCTACATTTTACAGAAACAAAGCAGCTATAGAAAGGAAAGCCCTCAAAAGCATTTGATGATGAAATGTATTAATGGAAAAGGCCTACTAGACCCATAGAAAAATATATTAATTTCCTTAGCTATCTCATTTTATGAATAGAGAAAACAAGAATTTCCTTACTTTGCTGGGAAGTTTAATGCTGGTAATTTATGAGAAAATGATAGAGTATTACTAAACTATTTTATATGACTCATAGGCCTTAATGAGACAAAACATTAAATTCCATCACTAAGACTAACATTTGTCAGGCATCAAGCATGCTTAAAACAAAATATTTTATTAATATCCCCATGATATGCACAATTATTTTCATGTGATAGTTGCTTTGTTACTTTAATTTCATTTTCTTTTCTTGTGCTGGTACTGGGACTTGAATTCAGGGCCATGTGCTCTCACTTAGCTTTCCCACTCATGGGTATCATTAGTTTTTTTTTCTTACAGATAAATTCTCTCAGACCAAATTTATGTTACTATGTAAAACAATCTTTAAAAAGACTCACTGTCTGGCAGTAGCTCATGCTTGTAATCCTAGCTACTCAGGAGGCTGAGATCTGGGAATCACATTCCAAAGCCAACCTAAGCAGGAAAGTCTGTGAGACTCTTATCTCCAATTAACCACCAAAAAGCTACTAGTGGATCTGTAGCTCATTTGGTAAAGTGCCAGCCTTGAGCAAAAAAATCTAAGGGACAGCATCTAGGTCATGAATTCAAGTCCTAGTGCTAGCACACACACACACACAAAAACGAATCACTGCCAGGTGCTTATGGTTCATGCGTGTAATCCTAGCTACCCAGGGGGCTGAGATCTCAGGATTGTGGTTCGAAGCCAGCCTGTGCAGGAAAAGCCGTGAAATTCTTTATCTACAGTAAACCAGTAGAAAATTAGAAGTCGTGCTGTGGCTTAAGTGGTAGAGTGCTAGCCTTGAGCTGAAGAGCTCAGGGATAGCGCTCAGGCCCAGAGTTCAAGCTGCATGAATGACAAAACAAAAAACAAACAAAAAACTAAGTAGCTTTCATTTTTTTAAGACTAAGAAAATCATATGTCTTTACCTTCTGAACGAGGCTACACCAACTATCAAAGTCTTTTTCTTCTTTGCAGAAAAACCCCTTGAGGGAAAGCAAAAGAACATAATTTAGAATTTTCCTTTGTAGTGCATAGTAGAGCTGTTGCTCAGACTTAGGATGTGGGCCACTCTCTTTGGATGTATCTTCTCAGTGATAGAGGAAGACTAGCTGGCCTGCCTCACATGGACATACACATTGTCATTCACTAGCTCTTACTCTCATCCTCCGCCTGTCTCTCTGACTCATGCTGCCTGTCCTTCTCCCTTCCAGTCCCCTTTCCTTCATGCTGTGAGATTGTTGAATTTGGAGATCAGTTTCCACAGCAAGAGGTTAGTTCCACCATATTCTGTGCAAAAGAAACAAACCAATGGAGAACATTTTATTAAATGAGCAAAGGCCAAATAGTACTTTTTGCTAGAGGCAATACTTGACATAATGCCTTTGACCTTCAAAAAATTATCTATTAGGAGAGAGAGAACCAGTAGTTCCCTTTCTCATCCTTAGAACCATTTCATAGTTTAAAAGAAGAGGGGGACTCATCTCTGTCACAGCTCTATCTCTTCTCAATGCTGATAGTTGGGTCACATGGGAAGAGAAAATGCAGAGAGGCCTCAGAACCACTGGTTACATCACAGGCAGATGCCCAATCAATGTATGTTGATCATAGTCACACTTTTCGGGTACTTGGTCCTAAGTCTTTAACTCAGAGCCTGAGTACTGTCTCTAAGCTTTTCTTGTTCAAGGCTAGCACTCTACCACTTCAGCCACAGCCCCACTTATGGCTTTTGGTAGTTTATTGGAGATAGGAGTCACATAGAGTTTTCCTACTAGGGCTGGCTTTGAATTACAATCCTCAGATATCAGCCTTCTGGCTAGATAGGATTATGGGCATGTGCCACCAGTTTCTGGGTTAGATAGAATACTTAGAAAATAAGCCAGAGAGCAAAGAAAACAAGAACATTTCTGGTAAACCTTCTATTTAGAAATAATCACTGCTAATCACCTGGTACATTAATGTCCTTGGGGAAAAAAAGAAATGGGCACTGTCCTCCTATAGGGTTTTAACCCCTTCTCTCTCCCTACTCATGTCCTACCTTATTCCTGTGTGAGGCATAATTTGAGAACAAGAAGAAAAATGGGGAAAGAATGAACTAGTAGTAATAACATATATAGAATGATCACAATGTATCAGGTCCTGTGCCAGTACCTTACACAAACTAAACCCCGTGTACTCCTACTAGGAAGGAGCTATTGTTTCCTCATTTTAGAGATGAGAAGACAGAGGTCAGCAAGGTTAAATGACTCTCCCTAAGTCTACAACTAGAAAGTAGCAAACCGTAGCTCTAACTCATTTCCCATCCCTTTCCTTTTCTTTCTTTCCCTCCCCTATATCAATACACCATACAGCTTCTCACAGGGATGGTAAGCAAACACACACTTGTCAGGCTACCTTACAACTTGGAAAACTCCCAGGGAACCAATCTGTAACAGGGTGGCATATCTTCCAGTCCACCTAACCTTTAGCTACCTACCAGTGCCACAGAGGGATCCAAGTTGAGGATGTTCATTCGCTGTGGGGACTGCAGGCAATGAAAAGTCTGGTCATCAACAGTTCCATTCTCTTCAGTGTCAACAAAAGTCTGGGTTGTGTGAGGGTCCAAGAAGATGAGCTCATTACCTGATTGGATGAGATATGCTTAAACTTTGAAGCCCACTGGCCCTGTCCCACTGCTGTCCTGGTGAGGAGGCCCACTGCTTCTCCTAACCCTTTCCTGGTGACCATGAGAATGGGATGACAGGAAGCCTGAAGCCAAATGAGCATGCTTGAAAAAAATCTACTAATTCAAAGAGAAGATTTGCCCTAGCCCTTACATCTCCTCAAAGTCCAAGTCCAAAAGCAGAAAGTGACAGTTTGCAGAAAGGAGGGATGGGATACTGCAGATGACATGGCAGGCTCTGTGAGCAGCAGTAGCAAAGAGACGACAGTAGACATTAAGTTGTATACCTAAGTGCTAACCAGGGTACTATCTGCCTCTTTCAACATTGGAAAGCATCTCCATTCATATAATCAATGCTCAGAAATATGCTAAAGGAAAAGGCCTTGGCCTACAAAAGAAATTCTACCCACATGGAACAAGGATGCTAAGTTGCCAGACACAAAAATCCAATGAGTTGACTTCTGTTGTCAATTAGCAAGAAGATTATAGTCATGATAAGCAAGTTAGTCAATTCCTGTCACACAGCACTGCCTTTGTCACATTAACATCAGCACAGATGCACCTCATTGGGAGGGCTTACTGGAAAATGATTTTTTTTGTGGTACTAGGTTGGAACCCAGGGCCTTGCACATGCTAGGCAATTGCTCTACCACTGAGCTTCACCTCCAGTCTGGGATAACTGTCTTTTACATACAAGAGAACAGGCTTACTCCCAAATGTCCCAGAATGAGTTTAGAATAATAAAATTTCTACCTTGATCTCATAATTAAAGAGCTGAGAGTTCCCAATGCTTAGGGGGTAGAAATACCTAAGGGGGGCCCAATGTCACTCTTCAGGTCTGAGGTCATTTGATTGGGTCTCTGCATCCTCAACTAAGTCAAGAAAGAGACCTTCTCTGGAATGGCTCCCAGGAGGGCACATCTATTTTGCCAACATTGGTTCTGGTGGCAAAGAGTATGTTCCTGCTGTCTGATGAAAACTTTCCTGAAAGTCAAACCACTTAATTCACTCTTTGTCCTATGTTCTTGGTTTCAATTTGAGGTCATCACACCATTTCTTGGACAGGAACCCAAAATCTTAGCAACAACTCCAAATACTAGGTTTTTTATTTACAAAAGTAAAAGCCACTAGGCACTGGTGGCTCATGCCTATAATCTTAGCTACTCAGGAGGCTAAGATAAGGATCACTGTTCAAAGCCAGCCTGGGCAGAAAAACTCATGAAACTCTTTTTTTTTTTTTTTTTGGGGGGGGGGGTCTGGTCGTGGGGCCTGAACTCTGGGCCTGGGCGCTGTCCCTCAGCTCTTCAACTCAAGGCTAGCGCTCTACCACTTGAGCCACAGCGCCACTTCCAGCTTTTTTCTTTTTGCTTATGTGGTGCTGAGGAATCAAACCCAGGGCCTCAGGCATGCAAGGCAAGCGCTCTACCACTGAGCCACCTTCCCAGCCCTCATGAAACTCTTATCTCCAATAAACCACCAAAAAAAGCGCCAGAAGTGGATCTGTCTGTGGTGAAAGTGGTCAAACACCAGTCTGGAGCAAGAAAGGTCAAGGACAGCACCCAGGACCCTGAGTTCAAGTCCCAGGACTGGCACAAAAACAAAAATAAAAGTAAAAACTGCCCAAGGACTCCAGATATACCATTTAGCTGTAATTCTCATAGTCAGCCAATAGATGGCAGAAAAGGCAGCTGTATAGCAAGGAAAACCAATCCTGAAGACAGAAAGAATGAGGAAGGAAAAGCATTGGGTGGAGCCATCTTTTACTGAGTGTGTATTATATGCCTGGCTCTTTGTTAGACACTATGAGATGGCCTAATGGTAAGTTAGCTGTTAACCTATTTTACATAAGAGGATCTGAGACTGAAAGAGCTGATATTTTTTTCTGCAGCCACACCATTAGCAAGTGGGAGAGTGGTATATAAAGCCAGATATGTCTGTTGACATCACACCTCACACCCCTGAATCTCCAAAAGATAAACAGCCACTTACCATTTCCTTATAACTGCTCTAGCTCG